GCCAAGGCCTGGGCCAGACGCCAGCTTGTCAAGGAGACTGATTAAAAGCAGCTTTGCTGGGGGTGGATGGCTTGATGTCCTTGGCCTGGAGTGGAGATCGATAAGCAATTGTTTTTCTGTTGGCAAGAAAAAAAATTCTCCATTAACTTTCTAGGGTGCTGCCAGACTAGTTTTCTTTTCAGGAACTCTGTAGCCTTGTCAGAACATCCTCCCTCCCTCTGTGGCTCTGGGAGGGAGGATGGACCACTGGAGCAGCTCCCCTGCCCTTGGGGAGGCAGGAGGAAGAAAGAACATTCTGGAACACAGCCCAGCAGGTAGTCCACATTCAGTAGGTATTTGTTGAAAGAGTAGCTTTTTTAGCACTTAATCATGCACCGGGCATGATATTGAGTGCTTAGCTCATTTAATCCTCATGACTACCTGGTGAGCGCCCATTTTATAGATGAGAAAACTGAGGCTGAGAAAGGCTAAGTCACTTGTTCACTGAGGGCCCAAGCACTCATACTTCAGGGGCCTGGCTTTTCTCCTCCTAGGGGGTAGGATCATAAAAAGGTTATATAAAGTCACAGCAGCTGGGGCCACAGAGAACATTGAACTTGGCTTGTATTCTTTCACTGATAGTGAAGCCAAGACAGGAACACAGTCATGGATTTCTTTCTCAGACACGGTAAGGTGGGATAGAGGATTAGGAGATGGGACCCACTCTCTAATGGTTACAGTTATTTTCTTTCTTTTAAAAGTTCCTTTCTGAATAGTTACTATTTGCACATGGTACAAAAGTACAAGGAGGGGCCAACCCGGTGGCCGACCCAGTTAAGGGCACACGCTCCGCTTTGGTGGCCCAGGGTTGGAGGGTTCAGATCCCAGGCATGCATCAACGCACTGCTTGTCATGCCCTGCTGTGGCGGCGTCCCATATAAAGTAGAGGAAGATGGGCACGGATGTTAGCTCAGGGCCAATCTTCCTCGGGAAAAAAAAAAAAAACAGAGGAGGATCAGCATCGGATGTTAGCTCAGGGCTGCTCTCCCTCACAAAAAAAAAATACAAGTAAATACAGTGAAAGTAAGTTCCTCCCACCCTGTCTTCCCACTCGCAGTTATTTTCTCTTGAGGCCACTGTTACCATTTTCTTGTGTACCTTTCAGAGAAATATGGTATGCATATGCAACTGTGTACACATGTATGGTTTTCCCCGCCAATGTTGACAGCAGCATACTAATGCTTAATTATTTTCCATGTAACAATGTGTCTTGGAGCTAATTCACGTTAGGATAGAGTCACCTCTTTTCAAATAAATGCATGGTTTTCTCCTGGGATCCATGTACCTCATTTTATTTACTCAGTCCCCTGTGGATGGTCATTTCAAACCACACTACCAAAATAATCTCGTGCATACATCATTTTTTTTTTAATAATTTTATTTATTTTTTCCCCCAAAGCCCCAGTAGATAGTTGTATGTCATAGCTGCACATCCTTCTAGTTGCTGTACGTGGGACACGGCCTCAGCATGGCTGGAGAAGCGGTGCGTCGGTGTGTGCCCGGGATCCGAACCCGGGCCGCCGGCAGCGAAGCGGGCGCACTTAACCGCTAAGCCACGGGGCCGGCCCCATACATCATTTTTTACGTGTGAAATTGTCCGTAGCATAAATACTCAGGCGTGGAATTGCTAAGTCAAAGGTGTGTGCATTTGGAATTTTGTTAGAGATTGGTGAATTTCCCTTCATAAGGATGGTGCCATTCATACTCCCCATAGCCTCACCAAAATTGTGCTATTATTGTATATATTTTTGTCTTTGCCAGTCTGATAGTTGAAAAAAAAGATATTTTATTGTAGTTTTATTATTATTTTCTTAATTTGGTAAAATATATGTAACAAAATTTACCATTTTAACCATTTTTAGGTTTACAGTTTAGTGGCATTAACCACATTCACAATGTTGTGTAGCTGTCGCCACTATTTCCAGAACTTTTTCATCACCCCAAACAGAAACTCTGTACCCCTTAAACAATGACTCCTCATCCCCGTCTCCCCCAGCCCCTGCTAACCTCTATTCTAAACTTTCTGTCTCTATGAATTTTCCTATTCTAGATACCTCATATAAGTGAAATCATACGATATTTGTCCTTTAATATCTGGCTTGTTTCACTTAGCACGTTTTCAAGGCTCATCCATGTTGTGGCATGTGTCAGAATTTTATTCCTTTTTATGGCTGAATAATATTCTATTCTATGGATACACCATGTTCTGTTTATCCATTCATCCGTTGATGAACACTTGGGTTGTTTCCACTTTTTGGCTATTGTCAGTAAGGCTGCTGTGGACGTGGATGTATAAGTATCTGCTTGAATCACTGCTTTCAATTCTTTTGGACATATACCTAGGGGAGGAATTGCTGGGTCAAATGATAATTCTACATTTAAGTTTTTGAGAACCCACCAAACATTTCATTGTAGTTTGAATTTGCACTTCTCTTACTATACTCGAGGCTGGACATCTTGTCACACAGTTGGGTTCTTTGTCATTTCTTTTCTTTTTCTTTTTCTTTTTTTTTTTTTTGTGAGAAAGATCAGCCCTGAGCTAACATCTGCCAATCCTCCTCTTTTTTGCTGAGGAAGACTGGTCCTGGGCTAACATCTGTGCCCATCTTCCTCCACTTTATATGGGACACCGCCACAGCGTGGCTTGCCAAGCGGTGTGTTGGTGCGCACCTGGGATCTGAACCTGCGAACCCCGGGCCGCCGCAGCAGAGCATGCGCACTTAACTGCTTGCACCACTGGGCCGGCCCCTCTCGGTCATTTCTTTACAGTGAACTCTGTGTTCATAAATTGTGCCCATGTCCAGGTGGGGACGCTGTAGTTATTTCTTGGTGCCTTTCCCATTGGTCTTTCTCTGCTCCACGAGAGCAGGGACCCCATCTGCCTACATCACTGTGCAGATTGCCTGATGTAGAAGCTGTTCCATAAATACTTCTTGTAGGACTGTCCCAAGAGGGCGAGTGGCATTTCTTTGCCCCTCAACCAGGTCCCTGGGGAGCACTGGCTTTCTGCTCCCATCTGTACCTTCCTCTCTACTCCCTCACTGCCACCCAGTGTCATCAAGAGATATAATTTTATTCATTCATAAAATCTCTCTACTCAGCACCCAGTGCTTTCCTGGCATCTTCGTGATGTGGGCAATCAGCACAGAGCCGCCACCATCCACATCCACAGATGTACTCCCTGAGTTCCAGTGGCACCTGTGACATTTGTCCAGCAGAATTTGTCAAACACATGAACCAAAGGTTAATGTTCTGTCCCAGAGACGGAAGGAGTTGACAGTCTAAGGGAGTGAGTCAGTCTTTTTTTTTTTTTTAATTCACATAACATAAAATTAACCATTTAAAAATGTACAATTCAGAGACATTTAGTACATTCACAGTGTTGTGCACCCACTACCTTTATCTAGTTCCAGAACATTTTCATCACCCCAAAATGAAACTCTGTACCCATTAGCAGTCACTGCCCCTTCCCCCTCAACGTCTCCCCAGTCTTATGCAACAACTAATCTACTTTCTGTCTCCATGGACTTGCCTATTCTAGAAGCTTCATATAAACAGAATCAAACATATGTGACCTTTTGGGTCTGGCTTCCTTCACTTAGTGTGACGTTTTTGAGGTTCATCCATGTTGTAGCAGGTGTCAGTATCTCATTCCTTTTTATGGCTGAATCATATTCCATTGTGTGGGTGGACCACATTTTGCCTATCCATTCATCTGGTGATGGACGTGTAGGTTGTTTCCCCTTTTGGCTATTGTGAATAGTGCTATTTGGATGTATACCCAGGAACAGAATTGCTGGGTCACATGGTGACTCTCTGTTTAATTTTTTGAGGAACCACAAAGCTATTTGACGTCAGCCTTTTCGACCTCATGTTTGCTTTACGTCTGGCGGGCACCAGCTCGGGGCTGAACCAGGAAAACATTAGATAATAGATGTGTCGAGCCCGGCTCCTCAGACAACACAAACTGCCCTGGCTCACACTCTCGGGCCCCTGGCCTTCCTCTGATGTGACCCCGACCCCACCGCACTCCTCAGTTGGGAATCATTGGCCTGAGGCCAGGCCAGGAGACCAGACTGCTGTGCGTGTGGACTTTGCATTAGGAGTCCTTGGACAAATTCCTTTCTCTCAAGCCTCGGTTTCCCCATTTACAAAATTGGGGTATAATAGCAAACCAACAGCCCCAGGTGCTTGTAAGATTATGTTGATGTGTAGAAGATGTCTTGTAAACTGTGAAGTGCTGTCTGGGTCATTGCCATTGTGAAGTGATGCAGCCCAGAGGTCGCCGTGTGGAAGTATTTCATTTGGCCTGCTCAGCGTTTAAAAACATTTGAATTAATTGCTAATTAAAAAAAAACAATCAAGAAATATCACCTAACATCCTCAGTTTAGGGCTTCTCTGGGGGGGAGGGAGGGAAAACCAGGCAATACTAGGTCGGAATCCCTGCTTACCAGCAATTGGCTTGAGCTGAGAGTAGCTGCTGCCTCTGTAGGCAGTGTGGGGGCTGTGTTTTGGGGTTTTCTCTTGCTTGGTTCCTACAGGAATTGAGTTTGGAATTTTTTTTAATTTTTTTATTTTTTTTGCTGAGGAAGATTGGCCCCGAGCTAACATCCGTGCCCATCTTCCTCTACTTTATATGGGATGCTGCCACAGCATGGCTTGACAAGCAGTGCATCGGTACATGTCAGGGGTCTGAACCCAGTAAGCCTGGGCCACCAAAGCGGAGCGCGAGCGCTTGACAGCTACACCGCTCGGAGTCCCCGGGAATTCTTGTTAAGTGTGAGGAGGGGCTTTTAAAATAAGGAAGTTAGAGTATGCTCTTCTGTATAGACTGAGATCAGATCACATGGCATTTTACAAGATTCTTTTTAGGACAAGACCGGAGGCAGGACTGGGGCGCCAGCCTGGGCAGCAGGAGCGGCCCCTTCCCTGGCCCTGCCGCAGGCTGAGGTGACTGAGCCCTCCTCTCTCTGCAGGTGGCGTGGCTGCCGGATGGGAGTGCCCCGGTGTGTCCGCGCTGGGTGAGGCCGGCGCATGCACCATGTCATCATGCGTCTCTAGCCAGCCTAGCAGTGACCGGGCCGCCCCCCAGGATGAGCTGGGGGGCGGGGGCAGCAGCAGCGAAGGCCAGAAGCCCTGTGAGGCCCTGCGGGGCCTCTCGACCCTGAGCATCCGCCTGGGCATGGAGTCCTTCATCGTGGTCACCGAGTGTGAGCCGGGCTGTGCCGTAGACCGTGGCCTGGCCCGGGCCCGGGCCCTGGAGGCCGATGGCCAAGAGGTCCCCCTCGACGCCTCCGGGTCCCAGGCCCGGCCCCACCTCTCGGGTCGCAAGCTCTCCCTGCAGGAGCGGTCCCAGTTGGACGCGAATGGACGCTGCGCGCACCCCGCCCTGCCCTCCTCGCCCGTCGGCTCCCCGCAGTTGTCGCCGCGGCTGCCCCGGCGGCCCACGGTGGAGTCCCACCACGTCTCCATCACCGGCATGCAGGTGCGTGAGCCGGCGGCCCTGGCGCGCTGCCCGCGCGTCCCCATGCGGGGCTGGGCTCCCCGGGAAGGGTTCCAGTGCAGCCAGTTGATTTGGGAGGTGACCCCAGGAAATCCGGAAGAAGTCAACAGAGGGTGCGCGATGGAGTCAGTTACCGCCATGGGCAGCTGGGGCTCCATCTCTCGGGAACCCTGTTTGACAGCGTAGAACATGAGCCCCAGAGTTATCCCACCTGAGGGCCGAGGGAGCGGGGCCTTGTACAGCGGCTCCCGCAGTCACTGGTGAGGGCTGCTGGCCGGGGACCTGCCCTGAGTGTGGGCAGAGCGGCTGCGGAGCCAGAGAGAGCCTCCAGCGAGGAGGTGCAGGTGCTCGCGGTTGGGACTTGTGCTGGGGGCCCTGGAGTGGGGATGGCGGGTCAGTGAGAGGCCTTCGGGCCTACCCGCGTGGCCCCTGTGGCTGGGTGTGCACCGGGCACTGCACTCAGCACTGTGTGTGCATTTCTCATTGGCTCCTTTCCATAAACTTCTGGGAGGGAGGTTAGAACTCACATCGCCCTCAGGGTTCCCAGGGCCCCGCGCGATCCACCCCTGCCCCTTCTCCTGCCTTTCTGCTGCCGACTCGCAGAGCTTGGTCCATCCCCACTTGTTTATACTGCTCAGATATCCACGCTCATCCCCTCTGTTAGTCTTCACTCTTGCTGTCCGCTCTCCTTGCATCCTCCCCCACCTTTGCAAGGCCACCTCCATCTGATGCGCAAGTCTCAACTCAGATGTCACCTCCTCCAAAAGGCCTCTCAGACCACCCTCTCTAAGCAGCCCTCGGCCCCCAGCCCCCTCTAGCTTGTTGCCCTGTTGATTTTCCTTCACTGTCTGATTATCCGTGTGTGTAAGTTAAGTGCTGCTTGTCTTCCCCTAGCTAGGATGTGAGCTCTGTAGGAATAGTCTTGTCTGCCACCATCACCCATGCCTAGTGAGGTGCCTGGTGCATAGTAGGAGCTCAAAAATATTTGTTGAAGGAATGAATGAGTTTAATTGGGAGTAGCCTGGAAATCAGGAATGGTTTTCTTAGGGGACTGATGTTTAACTGCATTTTGAGGGCTAGGTAGAATTTTCATAGTTAGGGATGGGTAAACAGAATTCACTGCAGGGAGAGTGCACAGCGTGAGCAAAGGCCCAGAGGTAGAAGGCATGATATAGGGGGAAGGGCAGCTAGGTCCAGGTCAGTTAGCTGGAGTATGGGGCCCATAATAGGGGCCACTGTGGCAACAGAGCTGGAGGGAGAGATTGGGTTTATATCAATTAGAATTGAGTCAGCTTAGGGAAATAGAGGACCCCCCCCCCCCAACAACAGTGGCTTTAACACAGTAGGGCTTATTTATCATGTAAAATAAATCTGGAGCTAGGCATTCAGGACTGATTAGCTTCATGGTCTCAAGATGGCTGCTGTGGCTCTAACCTTCACAGCTCCATTCCACGCAGAAAGAAGGAGCAGGGAAGAAGGGCAAAAAGTGTCTGCCTCCTAAGTCAGTCTTCTTTCCTGGAAGATCTACCCAAATACTTCTGCCTACCTCCTACTAGCCGGAACACAGTCACATGGCCACCCCAAGCTGTAAGAGAGGCTGTGAAATTCACTCTTCTAGCCGGTGGAACATTACCACCCGGAGTTCCATTTATAAGGAAGAAAGGGGCGACTGGTATTGGTGGGCAACTAGGTGACTCTGCTGAGGTCAGAGCTTTAGATGGCCTCGAAGGCCAGGCTGTGGAGTCAGGACTTGACTCTGGAAGCAGCAGGGAGCTGGAGCTGACGTGGTCAGAGTGGACTCTCAGAAGATGAATTCAGCAGTGTGTGGGGGTTGGAATAGGACGCAGTGAGACCCCCTCAGGACAGCTCCGCAGGGTCGCCCTCTGCCTGTCACATTCCTCTAGGACTCAGGGAATGAAAGTAACACTGGAGAGAAGCATTGGGAACAACCTAAAATGTCCACCAGTGAGGGGCGGGTTCTGCGAGCCATGGGGTGCTGGACAGCAGAGACACGCGGACCTGCTCCGTGTGCACGTTCCGACATGGAGCTGTCTCTAGGGATGTTGTTGAGTGAGAAAAGGGAGTGGAGAAATGATTTACTGTGACACCGTTTATGCCTCTCCAAACCCAAAACAGTACTCTGTGCTGTCCACAGGGGCATGTATGCGTGCGTTTACCTAGAACAAGGCCTGGACCTTTATACAGCAAACTGATAGCAAGGTTTGGGGGGAGGGTGAGAATTGGGAGGGGCAGTTAGGGGAAATGTTGGGCTTATCTGTCACATTTGAAGTTTTGTTTTCTCTCGTGTTTCTTTTCCCAGTGTTACTTCTTGTATTATTTTCCCCCTATATTGAGGTATAATTGAAGTAAACTGCACGTATTTCAAATGTACAGTGTGATCAGTTTTGATGTATGTATACATCTGCAAAACCATCACCCCAGTGAAGATTGCAGGCATTTCCAGCATACGCAAAATGCGTCCCTCCCCCTACTTTCCCCTTTCCCAGGTAACCACTGATCTGCTTTTTAATAGATTAGTTTACAAGTTCTAGAATTTTACATAAGTGCAATCATTTAGTATGTACCCATTTTTAGCTTAGCTTCTTTCACAGCATAATGATTTTGAGATTTATTCATGTTGTTGCATAAACCAGTAGTTCAGTCCTTTTTATTGCTAAATAGTATTCCATTGTACAGATGTGCCACAGTTTTGTTTATCCATTCGCGTGTTGATTTGAGTTGTTTCCAGTTTTTGACTAGTACGAATAAAGCTGTTATGAACATTTGTATACAAGTCTTTGCATGGACGCATGTTTTCATTTTTCTTGGGTAAATACCTAGGAGTAGAGTGGCTGGGTGGTATGGTGGGTGTTTGTTAAGAAACTGCCCAACTGTTTTCCAAAGAGGCTGTACCATTTTAAATTCCCACCAGCAGTGTATGAAGGTTCTATATGCCCTACATTCTGACAACACTTGGTTTGGTCAGTCTTCTTTATTTTAGCTGATCTAATGGGCGTGGTTTTAATTTACATTTCCCCGAGATTAATGATGTTGAACTTCTTTTCATGTGCTTATTGATCATTTGTATATCTTCTTTGGAGAAGTATCTTTTCAAATCTTTTGCCCATTTTTTAATTGGGTTGTCTTCTTATTAATTTGTTGTAAGAGTTCTTTATGTATTCTGGATTCTAGTCTTTTGTCTGATATATGTGTTACAGATAGTTTCTTTCAGTCTGTAGTTGGCCTTTCGTTTTCTTAATAGTGTCTTGAGGAGCAAAAGTTTTAATTTTGTTGAAGTTCAGTTTATCATTGGTTTCCTTTTATGTTTTGTACTTTTTGTGTATTATCTCAGAAACCTTTGCCTGTCCCAAGATCACACAGATTTTCTCCTGTTGTATTACCTTATATTTTTACAGAACAATATAGTCATAGATTACTTGTTTAATTTAAAATTAACTTTTAAAAATGGGAACAACCTTTAAAAAAGTGGGTTTTAAAAGAGTACATACTGTATGATTACATTTTTACAATGTACAAAAACTGAGCTGTTAGAAGCTAGGATAGTGGTCACTGTGGAGAGGGACCAGTGACTGGGAGGTGCTTCTGGGGAGCTGGAAATGTTCTCTTCCTTCATTTGGGTCCTGGTTACATGTCTTTGTTTAGTTTGTGAAAAATGTATCTAGCTGCAGACTTACAGTGCACTTCTATATGTTTCTACTTGCTTTTCAGGATTGTGTACAGCTGAATCAGTACACACTGAAGGATGAAATTGGAAAGGTAAGTATGCCAGGAGCCAGGCTGGCTTTCCACAGCTGTCAAGGCCTCTCAGATACTATGGAGGGAACCCGCTAGGGCTGGGAGTAGGAGCTGAGTACTGGAGACAGGCTGTGGGGGAGAGTTTTGCCATTAATGGTCCATTTGTTTTGTTTTTACATTGTAATGTAATGTATTAATATGTTTCTGCAAAAGCTCAGAAAGTTTAGAGAAATCCCATATCATCATGGTGGTGGTTACATCCCCCCTAATTAGTGTTAGTTTTTTTCCCCCCTCTGGTACTCTCACATCTGTTTTTGCTTTTGTTTCAGCCCCTGAGCAGTATCATAGCAGGGGTCAAAAACTCAAATGCCAGTAGAGAAGCAGTGAGTGATATAAATGAGTGAAGCGGGCTAGGTATGAGACAATAGGGAGTGGTGAGAACTATGGCGAACTGTTAACATATGGACACGAGGGCTCCATACAGCCCAATATTCCGATTTTTTCGAAAGGAGCTGGGAGTCTGGATTTTTATATTCAATCTTTCTGTTTTTAAACATTGGCAACTAACTCAAACTTTGTAAAAACTGCGGGTCCAACAAAATACAATTTCAGGGCAGATTTGGCCATTGGGCTGCTGGTTTGCAACCTCTGTATTAGGGTCCTCATTTTGCAGATCATAACTTCTGGATAGTATGTCACAGGCATCTCCCTTTATCCAGGGCTCCTATGGCGTGGTCAAGTTGGCCTACAATGAAAATGACAATACCTACTATGTGAGTATCCACATCCCCCTCCCCGCCCCCATCCTTGTCCAAAGAAAAAGCCTCCTTTCCAACACTTGGCTTCCTGAAAGGTTTTCTTAGCTGCTGTATCGTTTTATTCTTAGGTCATGTTCATTTTGTGCATTAGGAAGGAAGTGGTGCTCCCGTTTTACACATGGGGAAGTGGGGAGGTAAAGTGATTGGCTCAGGAAGAAAATGAGTAAATTCAGCAATGTCTCATATCCTTACTCTGGGCTGGCGTTTCTGCATCCTCCATCGCACCGAAAAGTGGGCGGTAGCGAGACAAACTGTCCTTGTAGCTGAGGCTTTGGGGTCAGTCCAGTGTGGGTTCAAATCCTGGCTGTCCCACGTGCCAACTGTGTGTTCTTGGGCAAGTGACATAACTGCTGAACCTCGGTTTCCCCGTATGTAAAACAGCCAGTCATACCCCTCCCTCGCCCATCACTGCAGCTCACTCGTGTCTTGAGTCAGTGGTAGCGAGTCCCAAGGCTCGGGGTCTCCCAGCTGGGAGAGATGACCTGGAACCTTGGAAGCACCTCAGGGCTAGAGGGACCCCGGGAGTTTAGCCTCCACACAGCCTGTAGCTGCTTGACCCGCTCGGATGACGAGGTGCTCACTACATTGTCCTGAAGCTGCCAGGGCGGCAAGTCCTTGGGCAGGCCTAGGCGTGGAGGGAGCTCTTCCTCTACCCTTCTCTCCATTTTAACCAGGTTGCGGGTTTTTTCTCCTACAGGCGATGAAGGTGCTGTCCAAAAAGAAGCTGATACGACAGGCGGGCTTTCCACGTGAGTTTGGTGGGCCAGGGCCTTTGTTCTTAGGTGCAGGGGCTGGGGCAAGACAGAAGAGATCCCACTGGATGGTGTCTCCTGCAGAGAGTGCCCTGGGTGGACGCCCCGAAGACAGCGCTGGGCCTCCTGCTGAGGATTTTTATTCATTTTCATTAAAAAATATTTATTAAAGTAATATAGATATCAAGTCAAAAAATCCATTCAAGGAAAACAGTTTGACAGTTCCTCAAAAAGTTAAACATGGAGTTACCATATGACCTAGCAAATCTACTCCTAGGTATATATACCCAAGAGAGCTGAAAACACATGTTCACACAAAAGCTTGTATGTGAATGTTCATAGCAGCACTATTCATAATAGCCAAAAAGTTTGGAAACCACCCAAATGTTTGTCAGTGGATGAATGGATAAACAAAAGGTGGTCTATCTATCCAATGGAATATTATTCAGCCATAAAAAGGAATGAAGTATTGACACATGCTACAACACAGATGACCTTGAGATCATTATGCTTAGTGAAAGAAGCTAGACACAAAAGATCACATATTGTATGATTCCACTTATGTGAAGTGTCCGGAATAGATAAATCCGTAGAGACAGCCGATTAGTGGTTTCAATGGGCTGGGAGTAAAAGGGAGTGGGGGTGACTGCAAATAGGGTATGGGGTTTTTAGGGGAGGCCATGAAAATGTACTTGAATTATATAGTGGTGATGGTTGCACAACCTTGTGAATGTACTAAAAACCATTGAATTACACATTTTAAAATGGTGAATTAAAAAAATTTAAATATCACAAGGCATTTCACTTATATCTACAAAAAAAGGAAAAAAAACAGGAGGACTTAGAATGGAGAACAAGTTTGTTGCTATACTCCTCCCTCTCCCTACAGGCAGCCCCCACTTTAGCAGCTGGTGATTACTGTGTGTGGTCGGGTGATAGACCTGTAGGTGATCATATCAGAGGCTGCTCCAGTGTGAGCTCCCTGCCAGCAATGCTGGGCAAAATGGGGGCTTGGGCCAAAAAGAGAAAGTCAATAAGGAAAAACATAAACCCCATCCTGGCACCAGGACCCTGGTTTATCCTGCTTATCCAACCTCTGAGCCAGATAATATCCTTGTGCCATTGTTTCTTGATTTATCAGTTTTTGGCATTTACTTCTGACTTCCTCTGAGGACAGCTTAAACCACTCCTTACCTTCCTTTCCCCAGCCAGGCAATGACATGATACTGTGATGCTTAGCTCCTCTGTTGTTACTACACCTGTCACTTTCCTCCTTGTTCCAGCAGGTGTAGCGAGTGTCTTTCCTTTGAACTTGTCTTTCCTCCTTTTGTATCCCACTTCTGACACCTGCATCTTTGCTTTGACTTTTCCAAGGCTGACACATCTCCATTCGGTTCTGTTAATCACAGTTAGATCCTCACTTACATGTAGTGTGTGACATAATAAGTGTCTTGACTATGGGCCTTTCCGTCACTGTGACCTTTTGACTCTTAGTCACTGCAGGGCCAAGGAGGGAACTGATTGCCTCTCCCTTTTGGCATAGTCTTTTGTTTTTCCTCTCACTGACTCTTACGTCTTTTCCTATCCCTGACCTCATTTTATCTCTCTACTAGTTCCATGAGTTAAGGAGGTGAGGGGTAATGTTTTTGTCCATCTTATGGAGTGGGAAAACTGAGCCCCAAAGAGGGGAAGTGATCAGCTCACCCTGGGATGTTGAGATTGCTGAGCCAGACCCCAGACTTCTTTTCCCCATACCTCAGTGAACTCCTGATTTTCAGTGTGGCCCGGGGCATGGGATGGGAAGGAGGGGATTCACAGACAGCTGAGCAGCGGGGCTGGGTCTCTGGTCTCACTGATTTCCAGCAGCAGAGGAGACAGGTGAGAAAAAGGCTGTGTAAAGCCCCAGGTAGCATCAGCCACTCCAGCCCTGCTGAGACCCTTCCCCTTTGGTTGTCCCACCTGCATCTGCCGTCTGCGGGGGAAAGTCTCTCTGCCCTGACCCTGGGATGGTTCATGTCTCCTCCAGGTCGCCCCCCACCCCGAGGCACCCGGCCAGCCCCGGGGGGCTGCATCCAGCCCAGGGGCCCCATTGAGCAGGTGTACCAGGAAATCGCCATCCTCAAGAAGCTGGACCACCCCAACGTGGTGAAGCTGGTGGAGGTGAGGTGGGGGGATGTGGAGGAGGGAGGGGAGGTGGGTGATGGTCCAGCCCTGGCTCTGTTGTTAACAAAATGCCACACCGCGAGTTCCGGGGAGAGCCATGTCACGTCACACAGCCTCTTGTGGGGCTGAGTAGTGGTTATTGCTCCAGGCTCCTTCATCCCTGTTATTTCATGTAATCCTTACCCCTCCCTAAGACTATTTATTACTCCTGTTTTACAGATGAAGAAACTGAGGGTCAGAGGGATACTGAGGCTTGGCCTTCACCCAGTTCTGTCTCTTTGGAGCTGGTCCTGTTCCTACTACACATATGAGTAGTTGTAGCACAAAAGCAGCCACGCACGTGTAAACAAGTGGGCGTAGCTGTGTTCCAATAAAGCTTTATTTACAAAAACAGACAGAGGGCCGTATTGGGCGTGCACGCTGTAGTTTGCCAACCCCTGCTCTAGATCAGCAGTTCTCACACTTGGTCTCAGGACCCCTTTGTGCTCTTAAAAATCATTGAAGACCCCGAAAAGCTTTTGCTTATTTGGGTTACATTTATTAATGTTTACCACATTAGAGTTTAAAACTGAGAAATCTAAACGTTATTTATTAGTTCATTTAAAAACAATAATCCTGCTACATATTAACATAAGTGATATTTTTATGAAAAATAACTATATTCTGAAACAAAAAATATAGTGAGAAGAATGGCATAGAATTTACATGTTTGCAAATTTGTTGTTGTTAATGTTCGGCTTGAGAGAAGATGGCTGGATTCTCATGTCTGCTTCTGCCTTCCTCCTGTTGTGTCATCACATGTCACGTGGTTTCTGGAAAACCGCTGTATACTAGTAGAGAATGGGAGTGAAAAAGGCAAATATTGTCTTAGTTTTAGAGCGAAAATAGTTTTGATCTTGTGGACTCCTTGAAAGCATCTCGGGGACCCCCAGAAGTCCCCAGAACACGTTTGGCGCACCTCTGGTCTAGATGACAAGGACTTGTAAACTGCATGTGATAAAGTACTTTACTGGACGTATGTTCAAAGTTCTGTGGGCGTACGGAGTGGGAGCAGCCAACCCAGCCTGAAGGGGCTGCGGAAGGCTTCTCAGGGGAAGTGATGTTTGAGATGACCCTGGTTGTTCCCTGGATGGAGAAGACAGAGAAGGAACAGGGAAGGGCATCATGGGAAGGAACAGCATGTGCAAAGGGCTGGAGGCCTCTATTTGGGGGTTATGTCCCTGCCTTTGCTAGATGTGAGGCTTAGCAGCCATGCCTTGCCTGAGGCCCATCAGGTGTAGAGCTCTAGGTGGGCCAGGCCCTGGGTCTGACTCCCCCCACAGGGCAGGGCGTAGGGATCAGAGCTCCAGGTTGGCTGCCCCCGGCCTCTGCCTAGAGTGCATCCCTTTCTCAGGGCTCTTGTCCTGTGGATCTTGGGTGGCTGGGGAAGGCGAATGTGATGTGGGAAGAGACGGGAGGACCAGTCTAGCCAAGGAGCCTGCCATTGTTTCTCCGTAAACAAGAGAGATGGTGGCTGCAGGTCATCTCCACCTGTCACTCGGAGTTTCACACTCTCAACTTGCTGATGCTTGAGTCGGCCATCTTAGACGAAGCCCAAAGGCACTTGGTTAGCAAGTGGCTCTGGGTCCTGGCGGGCTCTCCCTTTTCCCCACTGCCCTGTGGCATCTGACCTCTCCACCCAACAAGACCGTTTGCCCGCCTGTCTGTTCATTCATCAGACGTTTCCCGAGCTCCTGCCGTATGCCTTGTCCTGTACAGGGGACCACAGAGGCAACCAGGTGGAGACTGCCTGCTCCCTGCCCTTTGGAGAGAGGGAGAAAGGTAGAAATAGGGATAAAATGGAAGCAGGAGGGCCATGAGGAAGGAAAGGGGGAAAGTGCGGTGGCAGTTCCCGGCAGGGAGGCGTCACTTCCTGGGGCAGCAGGTAATGGGGGCGCTTCATAGAGGAGTCAGAAGAGCCCAGACAGGGCTTGAATTTTCACTCTGAGGATCAGTCCGTTGTCTCTTAGGAGACAGTGGGATTCTTATGTAAGCTGAGACATTTGCCAAGGGAGGAAATTGTCCCTTCCCTTTTGTAACCTCCTTTCTGGGTGTTTTGGACCCTTGAGGATTGGGCTAGAAGGTGCTTGTTTTCCAGATGGCCATTTGGATCGCACACTGGGTTTTTTCCAGTGCCTTTCGTCTTAACTAGAAAAAACAGTGGAGAGCACAGCCCTCCCGTTGGCAAATGCAGTCATGTGGATGCTGCTTCCTCCCTGCTCATATCTTTTATCTCTCTTCCTCTCCCCTGCTCCTTGTCTCCCGCCTGTTCCATGTGGCTTGCCAACAGGTCCTGGATGACCCCAATGAGGACCATCTGTACATGGGTAAGAGAGCCCTTGCCTTCTGCCACCCTCGCTCTGGCAGCTGTGCCTGCCAAAGCCCAGGGGTCCTCTCGAGGCATCCTCTGCCCCTGACATCTCCCACCAAGGATAGCTTCCCCTTTCCTGCTCCAGCTGGGCCCCACAGTGAACCACAGAGAAGGCCCTACCTCTGGTTTGAAGCAGGAGGTGGAGGGAATTCTTGCTGGAACTTTGTCTGGATGTCCTATTCATTTGCAAACATTTATTGAGCACCTACTGTGTGCCGGGCACCGTTCTAGGCACTAAGGATGCAGTGATGAGTAAGAAAGACAAGGCCTCTGCTTTTATGAAGCTGGCATTCTAGCCAGGGAAGACAGATAATCAACAAGTAAATAAACTGGATAATCAACTTCAGGTAGAAGCTCTGAGGAAGATTAAACTGGGTGATGTGAGAGAGAGGGATGGAGGGGCCACTTCAGATAAGAGGTGACCATTCAGCACCTGAATGTCAAGGATACAGCCCTGTTAAATCTGGAGAAGAGCATTCTAAGCAGAGGGAACTGCAGGTGCAAAGGCCCTGAGGCTGGTGAGAGCTTAACATGTTTGAGAAAAATGTGGCTGGAGAGAGTAAACCAGGGAGAGAAGGTGGGGATGAGGGTGGAGGGTCTGGGAGGCCATGGTGGGGGCATTTGGAGTGTTGGCACTCACATGGAAATGGAAGGACTCAGACGTGTCCTTAGAGACCTCATTTTTTTAAAATGATGAGGACTTGGGGCAGCCCCCAGTCAGCTCTCAGCATAAGTGCTGACAAGGGGAGGAAGGGCAGGGCTAATTTAAAACTGGACAGCAGACTGTCGGGTCCAGGAATGCCTGATCGACAGGTCACATGTGCTGGTAATGTCTGGCTTGGGTGGGCATTCAGACAAGCCTGTGCATTTTGAGCAGGTACAGATGACAGCAGGAGGGTATCAAGGAGATGAGGGAAACGGGCGTGGCCAAGGTCAGGCTGGAATCCAGAAGTCTCCTGGATGAGCAAGGGGATGGTCCCTTGCTGCACAAGGAGTGATTGATCATAAAGTAATGGGTCTGGTTTGCAAATAGAGCTCAGAGCTCAGTTTCCCCTAAAATACTTGCTGTGGTTCAATTCTGAGGATGCTGTTGTGTAGGACATTTTATTTTCCTCCCAGGTTTTTATTATGAAAAATGTTAAGCCTACAGAAAAGTTGAAAGACTAGTACGATGAATACCTGTATACCTGCCACCCAGATTCAACAGTTAGTAACTTTTTGTCGTATTTGCTTTATCAGTCTAGCCACCCACCCGTCCATTTCTCTGTGTTTTTTGCTGAACCATCTAAAAGTAAAGTAGCAGATGTCTTGACACTTAAGCCCCTAAACACTCAGTGTGCATCTCATAATAAGGACATTCTCCTACAGGACCGCAATACCATTATCACTTCTGAAAAAGTTAATGCCAGTTCTTTGAGAGCATCTAGTGTGCAGTCCATATTCAAATGTTAGAACTTTTAAAATTTTCCTTTAGAAACAATTTAGAAGCTACACAATAAATAATATCAGATATGTTAACTTTTTAAAAATTTTGAGAGCGAGAAACATTTATTATAAAAATGTGAACGTTACAGAATTGCAATATTTCTCAAAATGTGATACCATCACCACTTTAAATCTGTGAGATTATTTTAAGTAGGACATGGACAAACATTAAAAAAATTTTTTTAGATTTAATTTACCATTGTATAGGAAAAACTATAACCAGCAAACTAAACTCATGATTTCATTACCTAGGATAAGGCTAAAAATTTAAAAACTGAGTTGATTTAAAGAAAAATGTAAAACAAATAATAATTTACATGGTATATAGATATGGCCAGATTATAAACATGGTGGGCAAATGAGAGAAGTTTGGAGAAATACAGCGGAAATCACAAAATGTGAAAGATAGTTTTTGGCCCAGAATGGCATCCCCAGTGTAATTGGCTCACTTGGAGCTCCAGACCTGACTGCATGGCTTTGGGCTGTTTCTGAGGAGTTTGTTGGTTCATTCAACAAACATTACAGTTTGTTGGGCCCTGTTGTAGGTTCTTCAGGGAACGAAACTCAAAGCTCCCTGCCCTCAGAGTACTATATTGCTGTTGTGAGGACAGACAGACACTCAGTACCTACATATTACGCATAGGCTTCAAAGGGGATGACACCATGGAAAAAAGCAAACCTGAGCAGGGTCGGGGGGCCAGGAGTTCCAGGTTGGGGGATTGGGAAATAGAGTGGCTCATCGAGATGCCTCACTGAGGGGACGTTTGTGCAGGACAATGGGGACCGGATGGTAGAGGGCACTTTACACCATTGTAAGATTTTGCCTCTTACTGAGCGAGAAGGGAGCCATTGGTGGGTTTTGAGCAGAGGAGTTGAATGAGTATAAAAAGAACATGAACCAAGGGGCCAGCCTGGGGCCGAGGGGTTAAAGTTCCACATGCTCCACTTTGGCAGCCCGGGTTCGTGGGTTTGGATCCAGGTGTGGACCTACACCACTTGTCAAGCCATGCTGTGGCAGAGACCCATGTACAAAATAGAGGAAGATTGGCACAGATGTTAGCTCAGAGCTAATCTTCCTCAAACAAAAAAAAAGAGGAAGATTGCCAACGGGAGTTAGCTTAGGGCGAATCTTCCTCACCAAAAAAAAAAAAGAGGATTGGCAATGGATGTTAGCTCAGGGCAAATCTTCCTCAGCAAAAAAAAAGGACAATGACCCAAGCTCCAAAGGGGAGTTTCCTAAGCCATTTGAATGAGGCAGCTTCACAGTTTTTCTGTTCTCAAGGTGGCCGTGTGGAAAGGAGGCGTGTGGACTTTTGGTTTGTGATTCCAGTGGTTTTGAAAATCTTTCCAGCCACAGCCATGTGTGGCGAGCACAGACAGGGTAGCGCGTGAGGCTGGCAGCAGGTATCAGCGAGGGTCCTGCAGCTGCAGGTCTGACCCTAAAAGGTTAGAGATCATGATCAATATTTCTAGAAGTTAAAAACTTCCCACCCACCACTCAGCCCCAGGAGAGGTTAAACTGTTAGTGACTGAAAATAGACCTGTTTCCACAGGCCAACTTCCCCCAAACCAACTGACTTGTGATGCTTGGGTGAGTGGGAGGAAGGTGCAGAAATTCATGAAGCAGCTCTCGAGAGTTCAGACTTCCATAACCCAGGCAGGAAAGGCTGGAGCAGAGGGGACCGGTGCTCCTATCTGTGGAAGCCTTTCCCTCAGCACTGTCGCCTTTCCTGCTAACCACAGCCTGAAGCCATGGCAGATCTGCCCTAGCTTGGGTTTGCCCAGCAATGGTTGATGGACCTGAAGACAGGGAGGGGCCCCAGGGGAGTCAAGTTCCTGGTCAGAACCTGTAAGCCTTCTTCTTGTCTGAGCAGCCAGCTCTTTCTCCTCCGCCACCTCAGCCCCTGGAGAGCTTTGAAACAACCCTTTGATTTCTTCCATAGGAAACTCCAATGTGGGTAGATGATTCCAGAACAACAGACAACTCTGAAGTTATTCTCCACTGGATTTTGAAATCCACGGCGCTATTTTTTCACTTCCTAAAGTGCAGCTTCATATTCCCAGTTATGTTTGTCCAAGCAGAACAGAATTAAAATAACTATGACCCTAGACTCAGCAATTCCACTCCTAGGTGTATAACTAAAACCTGAAAACAGATATCCACATAAATACTCGTATGTGAATGCTGTACACATATTCATAGCAGCACTATTCACAACAGCCAAAATGTGGAAACAACCCAAATGTTCATTGGCTGATGAGTAGATAAACAAAACGTGGCATATCCACACAATGGAATGTGATTCAGCCATAAAAAGGAATCAGGTACTGATCCATGATACCACATGAATGAACCTTGAAAACATTATGCTAAGTGAAAAAGTCAGTCACAAAAGGTCACAGGTTGCATGATTCCATTTATATGAAATGTCCAGAATAGGCAAATCCATAGAAACAGAAATCAGATTAGTGGTGGCCAGGGGCTGGGGGAGAAGGTATGGGAAGTGACTGCTAATGGGGTTTGTTTTTGGGAGGATGAAAATGTTCTGGAACTAGATAGAGGTGATGGTTGCATAACATTGTGAATACTAAATACCACTGAATTATGTACTTTAAAATAGTTAATTTTATGTTATGAAGATTTCACCTCAATTTTTAAAAATGCAAAAACCAACAAAAAACGCCAACAACAGAAAAACTGCATTCCCTGAACACAGTTTATCTAATACTTGGTGGTTGTTGGTGGGGGTTCCCCACATACACAGGGCTGGGAAGAAGCTGGCACGGTGTGAGGCATTTGCGTGTTGTGTGTGGGTGTGAGTCAAGAAGGGCCTGTTTCAGAGGGATGGGATGAGGTGGCTTTTGAGGTGGTGGGAAATCTCCACCCCCACCTCTAGCTCCAAGTCTTGGTTTGGATTGAGAGTCATGGGAAAGGGTCCGAGGGCCAGCTGAGCACTGAGCGTTGAAGAGTTGGAACAATATTATCCAGCCTTTCTTGGTGTGTGGCCTGACACCACCTGGCAGCTGGGAGAATGTGGGAGAGGCTGTTGAAACCTGTTCTTGATGTTTCTTGAATCGAAACTTCTCTAGGATTCTGGAGACTGCTAGGGCTACTTGTGCCTAAGAAAATGGACGTTTGGGTTGTGTCCCCTTAGACCTGTTCTTTGGCATAAGGTGGCTCAGGACCTGGGCGTGACTAAGAGGACATAGTTTAGCATCAGTCATATCCCTGGAACCTCCAAGGTACGAGTAGAGAGATGAAAGGAGCCCATGACTGTCTCTACCTGTCTTCTGTCTCCCTGCTTTGTTTGCTCTGGCTGGAGGGTTTTCAGCTGTTTTGAGGACTAGAAGTACAGCCAGGCTGGGGTCCCAGGGACACCAGAAATCTCTGACCCCTAGCCTCCTGGTGGGAACTTAGAAAAGCAGGACCTTGAGTGGCTTTGGTTTGGTGGACTGTTTCTCTCCCCAGCCCCATTAGTTTCTGTGCTTCTTGGTGTTTCTAGGGGCAGTTGTGAGGTGGGGAGGATGGGAAGGAAGACGGATTTCTCAATGTGACAGTTTGCCCCCTTCTCTTCCCTACAGTGTTTGAACTGGTCAACCAAGGGTGAGTGTCCCAGCTTCCGGTGGGCTTGATGCCCGAAGCTTCTTGAGTTGCAAAGCCCAGCCAGATGCCACTGGGCTTTGCCGGTGAGAGAGGGCAAAGGCCGGTGTGCCTGGTTTGCTTTTCATACGTGTGTCAACCTTTCAGGCCTGTGATGGAAGTGCCCACCCTCAAACCGCTCTCTGAAGATCAGGCCCGTTTCTACTTCCAGGATCTGATCAAGGGCATCGAGTACTGTAAGCAGGGCCTGTAGGAGGACTCACCTCAGGGTGGTTAGCATTCCCAGGTAGTGGGTGGAAAGTGGAAAGTTTCTTGTTTCCCTCCTGGAGCGCAGGAAGGTGGGAGGGAAACAGAATTGTCTGAGATGCAGAGTCATGGATGGCTGCAGAGAGCCCTGCTGGGGCCGTGACCCTGGCGAGCAGACACCCTTCTTTCTGCCACACAGAAAAATTAAGAGCAATAACTATAGTCACTGTTTATCCAGCATTTTCTATGTGTACCAGTCACTGTTGGCAGCTTTATTTGCATCGTCCCTTATTTCTCCCAACAACCCTGGGATGAGGATCCTGTTAATCTCCTGGAACCTTAGTTTCCTCACCTGTAAAATGGGAATAGAGTCTCTCTCACCAGGGCTGAAATCAGCCAGTACATGTCAGTAGTTCTGATTGGCAGGTGTCCTTTCTGCTTCTGTTTGTTAAACATTTTGACTCTTACCCTTGCCGATCACATCGGATTGTTATGAGATTTAAGTGGGGTAAATGGGGAGCACTTAACACAGGGCTAGGCTGCGGACTGGACACTGAACAAAGGGTGCTGCTGCTCCTGTTACTAATATCATCATCTCCATCATCATCATCACCACGGAGATGCAGTTGGCTCTTCCAGACCATAGGATCGTCCTCTGCCATAGGCTGACATTCAGGCAGGAACACTTAGCCAAGACCCCAATCCTGCTGTGTGTTCACACTTCAAATCTGCCTGTTCCAGTCCTTGTTGGTTTGGTGAATACGTTGAGTGTTGGCATTAGTAAGTGAAAATATGTTTGACTGTCACAAGTCTTGAGGCTTCTAGCTGGGAGCCAAGCTCAATGAAAACTCTCCATGCACCTTCACACCGACTATAGCAGGCAGTTAATAATGGGTCTTGGCAGTTGGTGTTTCACTCCTCATTTTTGAGGACTAGGAACTTCCTTAAAGACACCCTTTCCCCCTTATCCCTCAGAGCTGTGGGTGTCCAGCAGGTTTGGGAGGGAAGGCTGGGAAGGGTCTGGGGCTATGGGAGAGCAGAGAGGTCCATGCCTGTGTCTCTGGGCTGTGTGGGCCATGTGGAGCTCCTCACGTGATCTTCCTATCCCCTCTCTCCCATCCATTGTCTACCCTGCCCCCAGTACACTACCAGAAGATCATCCACCGGGACATCAAACCTTCCAACCTGCTGGTGGGAGAAGATGGGCACATCAAGATTGCCGACTTTGGTGTGAGCAATGAGTTCAAGGGCAGTGATGCGCTTCTCTCTAACACTGTGGGCACGCCCGCCTTCATGGCACCCGAGTCACTCTCGGAGACCCGGAAGATCTTCTCTGGGAAGGTAGGTTTGGACCTGCCAGAGATGCTGAGTTCTGTGCTCGTGTTAGGGTCCTTTTGGTTGAAAGCAGCGAAAATCTAGTTCAAACTGGCTTAAACAGTGAATCCATTGGATCATGTAGATGAGGAGTGGGGTACATTTGGCTTTGGGCTTAGCTAGATACAGGGATTCAAATAGGAATCTGTCTTTCCATCTCTCAGCTCTGTTTTCCTGAATTGGTTTCCTGCCCAGGAGGGTTGGTCACCAGCAGCTCCAGGCTACTTGGCTATCAGTTTACCAACCTCAATAGAAAGAGCATTCCTGGGCCGGCCCCGTGGCTTAGCGGTTAAGTGCGTGTACTCCGCTGCTGGCGGCCCAGGTTCGGATCCTGGGCGCGCACCGACGCACCACTTCTCC